CGATGGGCGTTGTCAAACGACTGGACTAGGACTTGACATGTAGCTGTAGCAGTGCAAATAGAAGTTGTTCTGTTTGAAACTACATGTGTGATACTGGTACAAAACAGCATGGGTGCCAAGCGAAATCAAACAACAGTGGCCTATAAGATGGACATTAGATGTGTGTGTATGAGAAGAACAAAGAATCCTTACGCCATTCGCAAAAATTATGTGTCCATTAATCCACCCGGCCTCCTCTCTCGATATGAAGGCAAAAATAGGAGCAATTTCTTCAGGGCTAGGGAGGCGGTTAAGTGGGTGAGGGCGAGCTAGAAACTTCAACCGTTCTCGTCGTTCCCCTGCCGGACCATATCGGTGTCTACAACAACAGCATTGACGGTGATGCCCCTAGCTCCGATGTCCTTGGCAAGCACGCGCGTCATCTGCTCGACCGCCCCTTTGGTGGCGGAGTACACGGCATAGTTGCCAGTGATGCTAGAATTCTTCGTTGCTGCGGAAGAGCACACGACCTCCTGCAAGCGACTTTGTGTGAGTATACGCGCATGCATTCGGCTGTGGACATGCGTACCAGGCCCTAGGTGCTGAGTTGCGGCCGCCTTGACCATGAAGAGCGGTGCCTTTACGTTAACGGTAAACTGGTCGTCGAAATGCTTTTCATCGATATCATTGAGGGAGGCGTCACCCACGATGCCAGCATTCAGAACCAGAATGTCCAGTCTTTCAAAATGCCGTACGGTCTCTTCGATGAGCCTGGTTCCTTCGACGACCGACGATATGTCTGCCTTGATGGCGATAGCTTTGCCCTTGCCCTCCACATTGATCTGCTGCACGAGCGCACCCGCGGCGCCTGCACTGCCGAGATAGTTTACGACCACAAATGCACCGTGGGCAGCGAGTCTTCTGGCGATGGCAGCACCAATACCGCGAGAGGAGCCGGTCACAACGGCGACTTTATTGACGAGGGGGAGGGCTATTAATACTGGTGTATGGCTTGAAAAAACCGACGCACGACGATGATGGTCTCTCCTGGGGCCTTACGCATTACTTATATATCCAGTCACCAGCTAGAATATAGAATTTGTACACCGCAAAAGGGACACACTCCGTGTTGTGCGACGTCGCGGTTCTCGCGTGCCCGCAGTGACCCACATCGTATGCGCGTCCTATCGGTTGCAGCTTAACAAGGATATCCATAGGAGTGTGCACATCGCCAAGAAGAACGTGGATCTTGGCGGGGGTGGCGTTTTAGCAAGGGGATAGCACATAATCCAAGGGCTTCTACTATCCAACATGACATGAGTGTAGGCACTACGCCAAACGATCGACAAGCACACCTTCTATCCCAGCCCAGACGCAAACGGTGCTCGGGACTCTTGTTGTCACCGTAATAGGAAAACCCAAACGTCGGAGATGTCAGTGTCGAGTCTCCGAAGACATGCGCAAGAAAAAGGATGTTAACTCGTACGGATCATTACACAAAGGTGCAACTTGTGCGTAGCATGAAGTACAATTCTAATGGTCGCCCCCGAATCCAACCGCGAAGTCCTGACTAGTTAGATATAGTTCTGCAGGGTGCAGCTACTCACTGACCCCGCTGATGAAGATCATCTGACCACTAATTCACCCCGCTTCGTCTCTTGACAATTGAACAAGGTGACTATGGGAGCGATTGCGTCCGGTCTACGTTTCTAAGAATGAAGATACTCGAAGGGGTTGACAAGCTGCTCCGACTTCCCATACCGGAAGAGCTTGGTGTCGATAGGATATCCTGGGGCAATGCCGTTGACATTTATACCCACTGAGGTCCTTGGCAAGTATCCCTGTCATTTGCTCGACAGCACCCTTAGTTACCGTATAGATGGCGTAGTTTGGCGGTACTTTGGAAATTTGGTAGTAAAGAGGGAGACGCGGCTACCTGGAGGAGTAAGGGAGGAGCAAGGGAAGATAAGACCGTGCATACATGCATAAGCCTAGACACCTACCAGACTTGAGGAGCCTGGACGCGTCCCTGGCCATGAAAAGCGGAGCTTGGACATTGAACGTGGTGTGGTCGTCAAATGACCACTCGTTGGAGGCCTCCAGAGCGCCGTTGATCAAAAACCCCGCATCCACAAAAAGTCAAGCTTGCCAAAGTGCCGGACTATCTCATCAATGAGTTCCGCTGTGGACGATGCGTCGGCCTTGATAACAATCGCCTTGCCCTTCTCCTAGGCATCAATTTGCCGGGCGAGCTCGTTCGCTAATCAAGTAGGTGACCATGACGGACGCGCCATCGGCTGCATAGCTCAATCCTAGGTTTGAGGCTGCAGAGTTGCCGCACAGCA